GTTTGTACCAACTTACTTATCATAAACTGACGCCACAAACCATTTTGATGTGGTATGTTTAGATTAACATAACTTGATTTCAATACACAATAACATGGCCACCTTCATACACGATACGGAAACACGATAACAAAACAGTATATCAACATGTCAAGCTGCTGATTAAGGACCACGTGGCTGCTGTTGCAAGCAATACATTTCCGGGGTGTTATGGGATAACGTCTCTCTTCGCACAACTCCAGAATCTTAATGGAGCCTGTCAAGTTGTCCAACATTGGGAACGTGGCGACGGCTAGTGAGGAAATATATTTTTCGTGAGATTAAAGAATGTGAAATGAGAATACATGCGAAGTGCTTAACGATAACGATGAATTCGGTAAAGCTTCGTGTCACAAGTCTGTTCATACGTTTTGTACGCGTGTCGGACGCTTGTCAGAGCCAGGTGACGTCATGAGAAAAGGTATGGCGTATAATACATGTCTGAGGGTGTTCACATTGTGATCCAAGACATCTCATTCGTCGCAAAGCTAGCATACGTAAGGTCTTTGTGACGGCCTAAACCATCTTAAATATTTAGGCGTGCAAGAAAGCTGCAGCCAGCCTACCTTGCTAGTTGTCTACAAAGGTGACAGCAACGAGTATGGGGTAACGGACTAAAACAATGCAATCTGAAGTTATATTTGTCGAAAAATATGGCGCATTTGGCACAAGTACGATTATTCGGGGCTAGAGTTATTCTTCAAACTGCCTGCCCGCCTAATGTCGATGCGCTATGAGCTTCGCTGGCTGCGAGTGGAGTAATATCCGTCTATGTGACGTGTGATTTTAAGGTGTTCAAGTACCATAACGATGCATGGTTTTTCAACAGGTTAAAAGACGGGTCTTTTTCAAATACAAAACAAAGGTGGCGAACTCCGCACCATTTCTTTATAACTCATAATGCCTCTCGTTACTCTAGTATCTAACCTGTTATGTTGTCCAAACAAGGCGAATATTGTTGTGTGATCTTGCCACACCTTTTCACATTTGCACAGAGTAAGGGAAGCTCATTTTAAAACGTTATTGAGTGTCGTCGAGAAAAGTGAAATCGTCCAACAAGAACATATCAGCTATCACGATCGTTTCTTAAAGGTGCATAAAGAGAAGCATCTAAAATACCTTTTGAATACAAGATGTCTGGTTTAAGTACTTCCAATGCAAAGTATTAAATAGTTGGGAAATTCAAGAGGGCTAAAAAGCATCAATTAAGACAAGCAATAGCCTGCCCAACATTAATTTCGACGTCAACTTTGGGGGGGGTGCACACATGAAGGTGAACAAAACAGTAACAGCAACTTTCTGTGACATAGAGATCAGAATGGCAGACGTTTTGGTCACGAATCTTGCTTTGGTCCTCGGTGACCTAACCAAATCAACAAACATTTATCTCGCAATACATTAAGAGATTTCAATTCTTCAATTCCAGCAAGCAAACCTTGCATTCAAACACGCAGAATGCTTCGAGAGGCAAGAGGCAGGTTTCTAGGGAAACTGGATGAGTATCATAAACGCATGAACAGCACTAGCGCCATCTTTAAACCAGGTGTTGATACCATTGGCGCCACCTATGTTAACGATGTTATCCCCTTACAAAATGGCATGCAATTAAAAGCGGGAGATTGGACACCAAAAGCGTACCTAGCTTGTGGAAGAGCACACGCTTTGCGTGATGCTTGAAGCGTTTTAAAACCGTCTGTGTCTTCTAAATCGGTAAAAAACTGCCTTCGAAAAAGACCCTTACCTATGTGCTTGAAATGTTGTAGCATGTCAAGGACCCCACGATGACGTCACGACGAGGCTACCAGATATATCTTGGGGCCCGGGTACAAATGATGTAAAGTGTTCGCAACTCGTCATATCTTCAAATGCCCGCTGGGCGCATGTAATGTAGGTGCGTTTTTTTTTTACTTGCACTTAAAGCGTTGCGATTGGCGCATGTACTTGCCTGAGACCGTTGATATGCTATCATAAGCAGTAAAAACCGTGCAGCCAACATAATGCTATAAAATTTTATTTACATGCAAGTGACATGATAGAAGCCACACTCACAAACGTGTGTGCAGCAGTACCATATGACCTTGCTACCTTGATATACCGGCAAGGGAAGATGCGGAATGATGGCTGCTTTGCTTGTCAAGAATCGTGGCAATGTGTTCTCTTCGCCGGCTGGTTCGCACGGTTGTTGGGCACAGTTACGAATAGCACACGTTATGAAAAAATTGTCTCCGCTACAGTCACTCACGGATGACATCAAAATCTTCATAGGATTGCAACAGCAAAAATGGAATGACCACTATCCCTTTGGCGAAGTGCTTACACTGTTGCCAAGGATCTCAAGGCAAGCTGCTGCAAAAAAAAAACCTTGATTTGAGCTACCACAAAGGACATCATTGTTAATTGCTACAAAGGAACTCAATTGAAGTTGCTGCAAAGATATCAATGTAAATGGCTGTAAAGGACCTCACTATCCCTGCACATATTTTTTTCATTTTTTCCATTGCAGGTTAGATTTCCGTATTACTTGAACATTAGCTAATCTGTGCTCTGAAGCCCATCCCCGCCTGCGTCTCTTCCCGAAAATGCGTATACCTCTTACGTCTTTCTGCTATCCCGCTAAGCAGTATTTGGTAGCACCACTTTTGCAAAACCGTCCGTGATAGTGTCGACGATAATGGCAGCTGAGATTCCCATCGAACAATGACTCCGATTCAGTGGCCCGGTGGTAGCCATTTCGCATTATTTGCATAACGTCGCCGAAAAGTCACCAGCGTCTTACCACAATTTCGGCAAATAGATCTGCTGGCGTGGACCGGATATCGGTTAACTGGCGACATCTGCCGGACGGATGCACACGTGCCCACCGCATAGGAAGGAATTAGCTGCACAGATATACTTCATAAGGGTAAGAAAGGCTTCAAGCTACTCGTTTCTCAGTGTTATGAGTTGGTTTGCTGAGATGTACGAACCATCAGTATACCTAGAACAACTGATTAAACAACAGTATTAAGCAAGCAGTTGATATGTTGGAAAATCCACTAGTCATTACCGTTACCAGCGGTAACATAATTTTTGTGCTGTGCCGCTGTCGGTCATCTGGTTATCATGAGCACTGTGTTTAAAATGTTTTATACTGTCGTGATATGTCCCAGTGAGTGCTTGATACCCTAGTTTAACTAGTAAGTCATGGTATATTGAAGGTCTGTGATTGTCAGCATAAGAACTCATGATGTCCTCAGCCACATCATGTTATCTCGATTATTCTGGACATCTGCCGGACACAAATGTGAGTAAATGGCCTCCGATGAATGCATGTTGCTACGTTAAAACTGATCGGTTATGCCAATGACCGGCTTTATGCGAATCCCAGTGAAATTTGGTTAACTGCATTCCCGCGGCTTTATCAGTGCGTTGAAGCGGTGCCTATTGAGCAGTGGAGGTGCGGATGCCTTATCTGAGATAGGAGCAGCTTTTGGTATCATTTTTATCAGCGTGGTTTTATGAGGAATATCTTGCACCTGGGTGTTGCCGCATTTTCCGATGGCTCTCCTCTGAACCCAAAGAGGCTCCTCCTGGAAACGTGGCATGATACCAAACTCAGGCCAGTGAGAGATGTTCTCTTTACGTAGATGTACTCACTGGTTGGGAGTGAGCTGTCTTATTGGTCACCATTGATAACCTGGAATACTTGAGAATCTAGCCTTGCCACTGATAGGCGACTTTGTCAAACCCTTTCACAAGACCCCTCTGCGCTGAGGTTAAAATGGGGGCTCATATTGTACGCAGGAAAATTTTGCGAACCCGAAGCCCTCCCAACAGAACATCCAAAAAAATCAGAAAGTCTGCATGTTACATGAGTGCATTCTCCATGCCCCTGCGCAAACTCTGTTAAGTTTCTAAGCTTATTTGTATTTCTAAGAATGTGTGAGCAAGTTTTCGTGCTTAATCGGTCATGGGACTTTTGGAGATTGCATGAACCCAGGTAAAATTACTTTCTTATAGTGGTGACCGGTGTTCGGAACTTTTTGAAGCTTAAAAGTACACTACTCCACTTCCAAATAACCTAAATCTCAAACATTTCAAACCTGAAATTTCACTTTAACGGTCGGTGTCTTGCGCATGCAAAACAAGATTATCGAAAAGTGTAGCATCGTGTGTCTTGCAGAGTGTCTTTGACAAAATATCAACCACTCTGACATGTGCATGCATTATACCCAAAGCAAATGCGAGACGGCGATTTAAAAAACAACTATGCTTAATTATACCTTATTTAAACTTTCATTCAGGGGCACAGTTTCGCAAAGTGAGCTGGAAGTGGAGAGAAGAGGGCTGAAATATGAAAAGCTATGAAACCTACCCGCAAAATCGGCCAACAAACGGGTTTCTGCCTGGATTTGCCACACCTTTCTCTCGAAGTTGGGGTATCTGGAGCTCAAGTTGACTGGGGCCTCACCCCCTCTTGCTCGAATTGAATAGAAACTACACCTCTGATCTCAATGCACGTTCAAAATAAACCCTACTTTGTGCGAACCTCCATTATGGCTCGGCCTTCGATCCCAGCGTTATCTGGTTCTTCACACGGGACACGGTGGCGCCAGTGGTAAATCGTTGGTTACGTTCGACGCTCGGCGAGATGCCCCTGCTTCGAAATATTATCCCAGTTATTTGGGATCAGAATGAGAATGAGACCACCTCGGTATGAGAGCAGTGATTTCTCGAAAATCTCGCCTCTGCCGATGCATAAGGCATGCAGTTTTGCTTAAGCTGCTGAACATGCAACTTCCATATGCACAGACATGAACGCCGCGTGCGGCTTAAACCGCAAACCAAGCTCGCCCATTTGCTTTTCGCCAAAGCCCTCACGTGGCGCGCAGCTGCGCGGTCCACCTGCGGGAACCGCCTCCATCAGCATCACTTCCAGCTTGCCACGTGCCAAGCGCCACTTAAAGCGATCGTGTACGGCTCTAGCTGCAGCCGCCAGGCGCAGTCTGCGCCTTGATGGCGGCGGCAACTCCTGACGGCCGGCCGGCCAGTCAGCTGAATAATGCAGTCGCCCATTTCCTCACCGTGTATCGATGGGTGCTGCAGCGCTTTGGCGCGGCGCGGTCTGCCCCTGGAGCGCCGACAGAGCCGAGCTCACCGCGCTCAGCGGCCCCCCGGTGGATGAGGGCTGCAGCGCCGAGATGGCCGAGCTCACCACCCCCCAGCGGACCGGCCGTAGACGAGGACTGCAGCGCCGAGAACGCGGCGCCCATCGAGCTCGGAGGCCCGCCGGCGGAGCTGTGGGCGTTGCCGCTTGCTCCTGGAAACAACGGGGCGTCGATGGGGCGTCAGTGCACGAACGCTGTGAGACAGGGCTGGCTCGGGCGACGGCAGCTGATCATCCTGAATGCTATGGTGAGTATCATGATGATGACCATGTTGGGCTTGAATGTACTCCGATAAAGGCAAAGCTGCAACTCTGTTTCGCTCACTGACAAATGCAGAACGCTTGTGCTGGTTTCGAGGCCCAGGAACGAGCCCCGACCGCGCCCTGACATTCCAGGAGAGGATTCCGTGGCCAACGAGAGGGTGGTGGCTGGTGGACGCCCGCTTGTGGTCGGAATGCTTACTGAACATGCAACAAGCTGACGTTTGTTTTATATATTTAGTAGGCGTACATAATTGTTACAAAAGGCGTGCTGTTATTATTTAAACTTTTGCGGCCAAATAGAAGCGCGTTCCTCCCTACATACCAAAACTGAAGGCAGGCGGCCGTGCAGTACTTTGCAAGAGAATGTCACCCAGCCGCTGTCCCCATCGCATGCATCGGCTATGAGGCTAAGACATGTAACTAGGAGTGGTGTAATAGCACGATGTAACGCCCCATTCCATGCCCGCATACAATTAGGAATTATGCAACAATAGGTCGACGCGGACGCCGCATGCCGCGGCTCATTAATATGAAGAGTGCGCGCCGCCCGGCCGGCGCTCTTCACCGTCGGTCGCTTACCGTGACCGGGCTGTGACGTCAGCCCCAAGGCGTCCGGCGGGCGCGCGCCCTCCAGGGACCTCTGGCTGACCAGCTGAGACCTCTGTCGGGCGTCGCCGAGCGCATCCGGCTGCGACAGCTCCCCTTAAAAACGACCACAGCTTGTCGTGAGCCGTGGCCATCCGGAGAGCGGCATCGAGCTTGCACCGTAAACGTCGTACAAGATGCAATAGGCATTCCAGTTTCATAAGGCCTCGCTGTTTCCTGGTCTAGCATGCAATTAAAGTTTGCTTACAAGACACGCACGTCATCGATTGCGGGCAGGACTGAGGGTGGGGAGGGACGGGAAGGGCGCGATCCGAGCGACGTTCTAGAAAAGCATTCTAGAGCATTCGTCTGCTGCGCCCATGCGCTTATGCGCCTCTGCCGCGCTTATAAGAGCCAAAAGCCAATTCACTCACCTCAAGGTTTTCATGGAGCTCATACATCTGTCCAAAACACAGACACCAGAAGAGATCGCTTTGAAGTGTGTAATCACACCGGCCGCATCGGCCATGTCATGGCGTACCTGCTTCCGCAATCGTCATCTCGCCTGAAAGGCTGCATCGCTGGTGAGAGCAGACTGCACCTGACGAGAGCAGGCGAGATCGCTCGCAAAGTACGGCAGCAGTCGCCGCCGCCCGGGAAGCCATCGGCCCAGATTCTCAGCGTCAGATTCGCAGCCGGAATCATTTTCTTAATGACCAAGCTTATGGGATTAGCTCTCCTAACGTCGAAAATGCTAAAATCAGAGGCGTGCGGGGGGAAGAGACGCCGCCGACCTCGCTTTAGACGCGGGAATTAGCAGTTATTTGTGTGTGCAATATCCTATGTCGAGATCCTGGTGCAGAAGCTTGCAGCCCTGTCGGTACGTCATGCCGTCTGGCACCTATCATTACATCAGACAATCAAGTTCCCGGGCATCAAATTCCCCGGGCGGAACCTTCGCGGCGTTCTCTGCGGGCGTCCAACACCGCCCCGATAATAACACGGTCATGCCTAGCCACCCCCGACTCTCACACACAGTGACATGCATGCACGCGATAGTGGCGGGAGATTGGCCCTGCCGGCGCCAGAGATAGGCCGGTATCGATCACACAACACGTCCACGCGATCCGCGAGGCGGCTGCGCTCCTCCCGTCCGCTCGCGCTCTCCGTGTCCGCGGGCAGAGCCGGCCGTGCCGCCGCCGGTCGCAGCCGGGCCCGGCGCCCCTCAAGAGCTGCGCACGACACAGCCGGGCACGGCCGGATCGGGGAGGGCCGCTAAGACCGGCCGCTTTCTGATCAAGTGCGGCGGGAGACGGCGGAAGAGTTCCGCTGCCGCTACGTAAGAAGGCTTTCGCGGAAGCACAGCTGTGGTGGCTTTGTGGGACTGCAGAACTGTTAAAGCATGATGCCCTGCCTGCTTATAATTGAATAATAGTGAACCGTTTAAATATGAGCTTTCTGCGGCCACTGGGGTAATTCGCTCTGATGCAGGGAATGTATGACTGTAATTACGTCCAGAGTTTTTCCATACGATCATGCTACAATAGTGCACGGAGGCGTATTGCCGCAAAGCCGATGCAGTTTACCTTGTGCGAACTAAAAGCAAAAACGCGATGTACAAACACGGCAGCACCACTCCACATGGTAACGAAAGCATGCATATGTTGAATGCTTCTGAGGTTTTGGTTCTCCGTTTATGAAATTATAAAGAGGAGCTGGTCATTTTATAAATCCTCCGAATATGTAGTAATCGGTATAGCACTTGAAGGAGTTTAGAGAAGGTTTCGCAGTTCAGTGAAAGGCCCATATGCAGCTCAAATTACTACAGAAAATATAACGCCCCATTATGCCGAAATGCAGAGCGACACAGTGTGCAAACGCTGAAAACTGGGCGCAATGGCCCGGTAGTTAGGGCATCGGACTCCCACGTGGGGCCCGGGTTCGATTCCCGGTGGCGCCATGACCCCTGGACGTTAACATGGCCATTGCATTCGTTGCAATCCATGAAAGGGGCGTGGCGATGTGCCCGTGTTCCTCTTTTATAGAAAAAAGAGCGGGCGAAGACATTGTGCTGCCACCTATATAGGACATTTGCAAGGAACGGTCACTGCCAAGTGTAGAATGAAAACCATTGTGGGATATGCAGTATCAGCGACCTCATATCTAAAATTGCGTTGGATATGATTGGTGGTTGTCAGTAGAGCTGCCCGATAGCCATCGTTTCCTTCGCAGCACTATTGCCCAGTTGGCCCACAATCCAACACCACCCCAATCACGCAGAGACTGCAGTTTTGCCACCTTCGCCAGCATACGGTGTCACACTCACGTGTCGGCAATTGAAAAGGCTATAATGCTGCTGAAATTCTTCGTCAAAATGTGGATAAATTCTTCGTCAACAATGGATAAAACAATTAGGTTCACACCTTCTTGGTTTCAGAGCGGAGTCCCGATGGTTTGCTCTTTAGAAGAAGTATGCAATGTTAGGTGTCGTCAGCTTAATCTATTGAACTATTTATATAACCAGCGTTGATATCAGTTTATCAAGTAGTGCCCTTGAGGGCCTTTTGCAGATAGGCCAACATGAAGACTTCCCGGGCTTACATGGGGAATACGCGTGCGCCAGCTTGTCAAAAACGCAGGCGATACTCAGGAACGCATCGAGCCATGTCAACTAGCACTATCCTGGCCCGAATTTAGCGCGGTTATGAACAGGGCATAATGTGTCGATATACGCCAAACACCCGCGAAATCATTGCAAGCAGCTTCGACTATACTTGCATAGTATTATATATATATATATATATATATATATATATATATATATATATATATATTCCAAACCGCAGCGTGGCGGCTTTCGAAGGAACCACCTCGCGACCAAAATGAAGATGTCCATAATCTTGAGGCTTTTCTACTGGACTTGGATCAGTCGACTGATTTAGTGGCACTATGAGCCAAATGCCGATTGACCATCTTGGTTCCCGAGTCATAAAGTGCGCGCCAACACGCATCTTTCAGATATTCAACCTGACAAAAGACGCGCGACGCGGGCTGAATTGTTGTTAGGACGATGCTGCTAATTAGAGGCCTCTGGAAATGATGTGGATAAGTTGAAACTATGCGTTCTCCGAACGCACTGCACCATTCTAGACCCGCCCACACCCGTTAGCGCGCGTGCTGACTTTGCCAAAAATTAGTGCTGATCAGGTTTTAAGAGCACCATTCAAAATCCTCGACCCTTTGACCTGTGAGGTAACGGGGTCAACAGCACGTCACGTCAACAACAATGCTTGTCGTCAAAAGCTGGCGATATTTGCAGAAATGTAGGATACAGCCTGCGTTTCCCCCCCCCCCGCATCTCTTACTGCTGAGGGACTGGTTCCTGGGTGCTTTTTAGCTACATTTTCCATTGCCTCTTCACCTGGGCTTGAGACGTCTCTGCATGCGCTCAGGATACTTCTCTATCTACGTTTGTCTGCGCTCATCCAGTTAGTTAGCTGGGCACGCCTCTACCTGCATGCTCGCGCACCACCACACCTACGTCTCTAGGCGCTCCACTGCCTGGATTTAGGGGTCCTCTCTTCTTTGTGTTAGAAAACTCCTCTGCCATGACCAGGAGTGACACTTGGGCGTTCCCCTGCCATGACCAGGGGTGACACTTGGGCGCTTCTCTGCCAAGAGTAGGGCTATCACTCAACCGGGGCCAAGGGTCGCACTGTTATTTGAGTTTAAGACTAGGGGTGTTATTTCGTAGAGAAGGCTGGGAGGACCGTATACGCTGAAACGGCTAAGCCCACCACAAAATGTGCTTAAAAGCATATTTCTACCCGGATTTGACCCATATAGCACTTAGAGTTGAGGGCGAGCTGGAGTCCTCCCCCAGCTGAATAGTGAATTACACGCCTGTTTAGGATGTCTGTCTGCTTGGACTTAAAGGCATCCCATCACTAATGATTTGAGCCTCTACGTCGGGGTGGGGCGCTCTTCGCCCAAGCCCGATGCGCATCCTTACCTAGCGGTGGAAAAAGTCTCTCTACCTCTACCCGCTACTCTACCTCTCTACCCGAGCTCACGACGCACTCTATTTGGATTTAGAGCACCCACCCTCCGGTCTTAGAGTACCCTTTGGCTACTTAGGTCGTCACTTAGGCTCAAAGGCGCCCACTCTACTTGGACTCTAAGCGCCCATCTCTCGACTTCTTGTGACGGCAGCGCCTTATCAGCAAAATAGCGCCCAGCTGTTGGGTTCTAGAGCGAGGTCCAGGCCTGTGTGGGGCCCGGCTGAGAGGCCCATAAGCTTCTGTACTCTTAAGGTTTAGTATTTGCCCGGGTGACTGGTTGAATACCCTTTGCTCGCGTGAGGGTCAATTTCATTCCCTAAGATTTCAAAAGCTAAGAGAGCTAGAATCACCAAATATACATGGTGTATTGGCCTGCATATAAACTCACTTGTGTCAAGATGAGAGGTTCCTAGGTCACCGCCTTTGGGTCAAATATGGCCAAACAAGGTCAAACTCCCGATTTATGTCTCAGGTCCCCTAGGACCTAGGTACCTGTTCTAAGTAAAACGTCGCTGGTACTCATCTAAGTTAGTGACCTTGTTTGACCTTTCGCAGTTCATGGTGACAAAAATCATACAAGACTGCCTTGAGTATTGCATTTGAATGACCGACAAAGATTGCGCTACGCAGTATGTTCCTAAAAACAAAATATTGATCTGGGTTATTTTCGGTCAGTGACCTATCCTGACCTTAAAAGAGTCCTTGGTAAAAGCACAATACGGTTCCTGTTATCTATAAATTTGAAATTAGTGCTAGAAATTACCCCACACAGCAAGCTTTAGAGCAACGCGTCTCAAGCCCTAGGTGCCAGGTCATGGTCTCTGGTCTCTATGGCCTCTGGTCTCTATGCAATGCATATTGCATATGCATTTCATACCATTGCATGCGATGTTTTTCTCGCGGTTTGCAGGCTGGGGGATGGTTTTCCCCGTTATCAATGACTTGGACATGAAATCGGTGAGCACTTATCAAAGCACTTGTGCTAAACACATGTGTTTGTTCTATATAGTCACAAGTAATGCTGCGGAAGACAAACATTACCGGGATGAACTTGTGTGCGGGCATGTGTTTTTTGCATACGTCGCGAAGGCCAATGAACCATGGGATCGCAGTTACCATTCGTGCTTGAGAATCACTGCATGCTATCGAAGCACTGCATGCTATCGAAGCACTGCATGCTATCGAAGCATATGTTATATACTTTATCAGCTGGTTTACCTTCGCATCTGCCGATTTATCATGAGCACACTGAATTTCGATTATACAAATACCGAATTCCGAAAGCCAAGCCGTGCCGGGCTTGTTCCTCGGACCATTTAGCTCTCAGCCTCGCGCACATATTGTCTCAATGTAGTTACCTACCTTGACCATTTCTTCAGAAGCTTGTTTTTTCGCATTGATCCAATAATCAAAGTTTGAATAAAAACGTAGGTGGTCAAGTGGTGCGGTTGCCTATTCAATTGGTGGACCACCCCACTCCAAAAATTAGAAAAAAAAACTGGGGCCAGAACAGTGGAGGACCCCGTCTTAAGTATTTTACGGGTTGGGTTAGCCAGGTTTTCCTGCTCGGTTCCGCCACTCATCTTATTTGGAGGCGTTACACCCAGTTCTAACCATTCGTTTATGTGGTTTAATTGGCTTAAAAACAGTGTCATGCTCGTAGATACGGGCTGAGGTTGGATGGGGTTTTCACATGTTCACCCACTATGGCAGAACGAGTTGGAGATTGAATTTGGTTAAAAACCAACTTTGCCCATATATTAATCTAGTTGCAATTTTACGTTCACATGATCTTGATGACACCAATTTAGGTGGAGCACCGACGGACTTCATTCGATTTTGGATTTGAAAAGAGTGCGTTAGCTGAGGGTTGGATCTAAAGCTGGCTGTTGATCATGATCTAATGATCAGATCTAAAGCTGGCTGTTGATCATGATCTAATGATCAGATCTAGAGCTGACTGTTGATCATGATCTAATGATCAGATCTAAAGCTGGATAAGCATCGACCTGTGAAGAAACATTTCTGGAAAAGTTGTATCGTCACGTCGCGCGAGGGCAAACATAAACGTCATTGAATGGCAAGGATAATAATGTTTATCCTGTCTTGCATTGGTTGTTCCAAAACATTCTTGGAAGAGTAAAAGCACAACGAATGAGCTCACCTTCACGATAATGACGTTTTTTTGACACCTCATTAAACTTTCAAAAAGGTCCAGGATCGAGACGTCTAAAATATGCATTTCATTTCGTATTCAATGCAGAAAATTGCGATAGGCATTGTGCTTTTTTCAAATAATGATTTACGACAGAAGTAGATTATGCTTTTATGCCCATTTACTTTGACGTATTTGGCCGATATCGGATACTTTCACCTACAGGTTGTGTTGATTGTACCCGCTTTAACATTGCCAAAATTGACATACTCATTCAAACAGTTTTCTGAATGGGTATCAAAGCTTCATGCAACTTGCGACAGTGCTGTCACATGCAGCTGAAATCACATGCAACGTCAGGGCAATAGCCAAGTTGGAGCAGAGCCACGGACTAGCACCAGGCCAGAAACGTAGTATTTCAAGCATGCTAGCCGGATGTTAACTTAAACAGGAAACATATCTCCAGCTAATCCTCTCGTTGTTGGGAACACCCTCCGGTTCCCACCGAGGTCAAAATGAGCAGGCCAGCAGTCACCTCGCTCTCCCCAACCCCGAACAAAGACCTATGGCTCAGAATGTATTGGAAACTGCTTCCGCTGGTGAAAGGTTGAGCTTTTACGTAATCGCGCACTGTTTCATGAGTACATCAATGGGGGTCAACCAGTGCTTGGACACCGCAGGTTTAGCCGGAAATCAAGCCCTGTAATATGTGTTGAACACTGCGTGGTAATAAGTGAAACTACTTACCCTTAGTCCCCTTTCCATTTCAAAACTTGGAGGAATGTGACGAGAAATAAGGGGTTTAGAGCCTTGAGCGCTTAGAAAACCGAAATGCGTGTCACCATATTACATATGTTTCCTCAGCATTAAAATTTCATGTGCACATGGTGGATACCAAATCTTGAATATATACGTTTGTTCTAAGGACGTTTACATCAGCAAGTGTGAAGTGTGCAGCAAATGTTTGTTTTTTACTTGAAGTTCTATCACTGCAGCCTAAAAATGGCTTTGGCAGTTAGAAAAGTATGTTTTTAGATTAATCAAATAAATGATGTTATTGTAATGGACATATAAGGTTTGCACACATGTTTGCTTCGACTTTTCTAATGTGCATGTAAAACCAGACACACACACACACATACACACACACACACACACACACACACACACCACACACACCCCACACACACACACACACACCACACACACACACACACACCACACACACACACACCACCACACACACACACACACACACACACACACACACACCACACACACACGCACACACACCACACACCCCACACCACACACACACACACACACACACATCACACAACACACCACACACACACACACACACACAACACACACACACATACATACATACATACATACACACATACATATATATTCATACGCATATATATATATGCACATGCCACATTGAAGATTTGTCACGTTTTCCTTTTGCCAGTGGTGAAAAAGAAAACACATGTAGTGATTATCCTGAAGTGAAGATGGTGCTGAGAGTGCGTCTGTCGCTCACGACCGATTCCTTTTTTCCTGGACACATCCTAGCCCCATGAAGCCTCCGTAACAAAAGGAAGGTATTTCGGGGCTCCTTGTATTTTGCTACCGAGAGAAACAAGTATGGATTTGCCTTACTTTACAAAGCCTACGTCGACTTAGATCATTCATGGCTCATAGCTCCTGTAAAGGACGCCTGACTTTATTGTATTCCATAATCCTCTGCATAAAGGTAGAAGCATCACTGCGATGGGAAATGGATGCTCAGGATGGCAAGTATCGTGACATGGTTAGGAATGTTTGTGACTTTCTGAAGCCCTTTCGGGTGACGTGCGAGTGTCGGTGAGTGATCAGTGATGCTTATATCACTTATCACAGGAAATGTTGTAAGCAACTTTGCATCCAAGCCATCCCAGTGACAGTGAACAGTAAACCCGGTGAACACGCAACTAAGACAACGACGAAATCAGCGTACGTTTGGAAAAACTCTGGATCATTACAACATGGTGCAAAAGTGCGTCAGAAAGGGCTGCCGATATCTATTCAAGCAGCTGCACTGGACGAAAGGAAAGCTTTCCGTAAGCGGCGCGTTTCAAGAGGCGGCCAGCCTGTAGCCTGCGCATTCCGATGCAGCGGCCATGACCTGCCGTAACGAGTCGGCCAAGAGAGGTGGCCGGGTCGCGGCCGCGCGGCGGCTCACCTGTCGTCCTGCGCCGCGAGACACCGTCGGCGGCCGTGGGACTGCCCACCTCCTCCTCCTCCTCGACGATGGTGTACACCTCGCCGGCGCTGGGCTCCATCACCACAGAGCTGGGGCCCGACGACTCGCCGTCGCTCTCGCCGTCGCTCTCGTCGTCGCTCTCGACGTCGCAGTAGCGAATCACGTGGCTCGGATCGCGTGGCGGCGGCGAGGGGGAGTCAGGCGGCGGCGCGGGGGAGTCGAGCGACGGCGCGGGCGCCGTCGCCCGGCGGGTGCGGGATCATCGACGGCCTGCAGAGAGGTGCGCACGCGTGGGGACTTGATGGAGGAGGAGAGGATGGTGGCGCCGTCGCGCGAGCCTCGGACGCCGGCCGACGCGCTGGGCGGACGCGCGAGACGGCCGCAGGTCCAGGTCTTCCTCGGCCAGGTCCAGGAAGCCGGCCGGGATGTGCACGCCGAACCGGTTGGAGAACTGAGAGCGCGCTTTGATCTCTGGCGCCGAGCTGGGCCGCTCGCACGGGAGCGCGTCGTCGTCGATGCGCCCGACGCTGCTCATCGGCGAGGGCGTGGCGAGCCGGTCCGAGCACGACTCCGAGCGCCAGCAGCGGCGACTCGCCCGACTCGGAGGCGAGTCGTTGTCGACGCCCAGCGCCGCCAGCGACTGTAGGAAGGCGTTTGCGGCGCGTTACCCTGTTTTTCGTAAATCGGTGTCGCGACCCGGCTCCACCTTTGGAGGTGATGTCGTACCACTGGCGTCGCTGCCGACGACGACGGGCGACTGCCGGGGGCTGGCCGTTGGCGTTCGCAGGAGGAGCGGCAGAGGGCGGGCCGGCACGCTGCTGGAGGTAGCCGCGCCAGCTGCCGCCGACGGCTTCAGGAACGATAGCAGCTCCGTCGCTGTGTGCTGCACCTTGCCAGCGGCGGCGGCGACCAGCGGCGTCGGCACGTAGATCTTGGACTTTGGCAAGCTCGACGACGGGCTGGTCGCCAGCTGCTGGGCAGAGGACACCTGCGCCAGCGAGGCCCTTGTCCGCTCCTGCGTCAGCTGTAGTTGCTTTTGATACTCCTCCTTTTGCTGTTCGGCCCTGAGCACGAGTTCCCGCTCCCGTTCCTGCTGCAGCCTCTGCAGGTGGGCAATCTGCCTGCTGTTCCAAGAGCTGCTGCTGCTGCTGCAATATCTGTTGCTGCTGCCTCATTGAGCTGGCTAGAGGGAGCGGCCGCCACCGGCGCGGAAGACATGACGACATCGGACAATGTGAGTGCGGTGGCAGTGGTGGGCGCGGCCGTTTGTACTTGAGCGCGGCTGAAAGCGGGGCTGGCCCGGCCCTCGGCTGCTCTCAGCGCCTGCGCCGACTGCTGGATCGAGTGGTTCACATCGGCGTGCAGGCCGTGGAGCGGTGCCGACTGCTGCGGCGGGAGCAGACCGCCCAGACCCTCCGACACCTTCCCCTTAAGGCTGGTCTGCAGCTGAGTGAACAGACCCCGCTCTGGGATGCTCGGCTGCGCCGGCACACTAGCCACCGGCGCCGGCGTTGGCGCCGCCGCGTTCTGAGACGTGAGTGACGGGTCGAGCAATTTTTCGGTCAAAGTTTTATCAAACTTGGCTAGCAGCTTGTCTGTCTTGCCGAAGAAATTGTCGAGCGTTCGTTCCACGGCGCTGATTTGCGGTTTCTTGGCGGCGACGGACGGCGTGGGCCCGCTGCCGGCGCCGGCCGTCGACGGACCACCTGCCGCCGGCGGCTGCGCGCGCCCGGCTATCGACGCTCGCGCGCCATCCGTGGTGACTGGCGCTGGCCCACCATCGGCCGGGCCGGACGCAATCACGCCGCCCGGCCCGCCGGAGAGCTGGGAACCGACGGGATGCATGACAGGCTGGCCACTGGGGCTCGGGAAGCTGGGAGCAGAAACGTTGGGCCGGCTGCTGGGGGGCTGGAGGCCGGGTGGAAGCATGCCCGGCTGGATGTTGGGCTGGGGTCCGGGAGGAAATGGGTGGGTATGTGGGCCACGCTGGAACATTCCCGACAGAGAATTTATCGGCTGGGAGCTAGACGAGAAAATGCTTGGCTGAGTGCTGGCAGGGTGCAGTTTGGGCAGTAAATTATCCTGCTGGGAGGTTGGCGAAATTATGCTGCTCTGGAAATTCATAGGCTCGAAACTGTTCTGGTTCACAGACGGCTGGTGGATAGGAATTGTCCCCGGCTGCGACATGGATGGCGAATCTTCTCGCTGGGGACTAGAATGGTAAGAGACGGACTGCGGACTGGGCGAGTGGGAATCTGACAGCGACGTCGGCGGATGGGAATTCGAATGGGAGTTGGGCGAATAGGAGCCCACCTGTGGGACGGGCGAGTACGAGTTGGACTGGGATCCGGGCGGATAACAGCCTGGATGTTGGCCAGGTGGGTAGGCGCCAGGCTGAGAGCCAGGCGGGTGAGCGTTTGACTGAGAGCTGGGTGGAAGCGCGCCAGGCTGCGAGCCGGGCGGATAGGCGCCAGGCTGCGAACCTCCCGGGAATCCCGCGGGCTGGCCGACCGTCGGACGCCCACCGGGCTCCGCGACGCGCGGCGCTCCTCCCATCTGCTGCGCGGCGCCTCGACCTGCTTCCTGCTGCCGCTCCTGCTGCGCGGCGGGCGAGGCGCTGCCTAGCCGCGGGCCGTCCTGCCCGCCGCCGGGGTGCGCCATCACCGTCGGCGGCGGCGCCGGCTGACGCGGCATACGCAGGCGCGGCCGCATCGCGCCGCGTGGCCCCATCATGCGCGGCCGCAGCG